AAGCTTCCGGACGTGCGGCCTAAACCCCGCCTCGAACAACTGGTTGGCAGCAGTTGGGATCGGACCATGCGACATCGTGCTACATCTGTGGGTGAGCGTTTGGACTTTGCTTTGAGATTCGCCAGGCTTCAGATTATGGGTAATTAATTTTGAACTGCTGGGAATCCTTAGTGTTTGACTCGTGCGCTAGGTTTGTGTACAACCTCGCGACAAGTTTTATAGCAAAGCCAAAGCTAAAGAGCAGCGATCATGGATCTAATGAGGTTACTGAGAACAGATTTACTCTGTTTATGTGAAGAATTTGGTGTGGAGGTGGAGAAAAAGATGAAGAAATCTGAGATCAGTAAAGCAATTTCAGAGAGCGCGGAAGCAGAGGATATTAAAATTGCGTGGGAATTACTTCAGAACGCTAAAAGTGAGGCTGCAGCAAAAGAGGAACGAGAACAGGAGCAGGCTGCAGCGAAAGAGGAACGAGAGCAGGAGCAGGCTGCAGCAAGAGAGGAACGAGCGCAGGCTGCAGCGAAAGAGGAACGAGAACAGGCTGCAGCAAGAGAGGAACGAGCGCAGGCTGCAGCGAGAGAGGAACGAGCGCAGGCTGCAGCGGCAGAGGAACGAGCGCTAAAAAGGCTAGAGCTCGAAATTGAACAACAGCGATTAAACTCGCAGAACAGTAGAGTTGGGGCTCCGGTACGAGCAAGTGAGGCCGAGTCGTATCAAATGAAGAAGCTCCTGCGGCCGTTTAAAGTTGGGGAAGACGTGGGCCTATTCTTAGTTAACTTTGAGAGGACATGTGAGAAGTTGAGCTTCGCCCCAGAAACGTGGCCGCAACGGCTTTTGACTTTGTTGCCCTGTGAGGCTGCAGAGGTTGTCGCGCGCCTTAATACTAGAGACGCGGACGACTACGACAAGGTGAAGTCGAGCCTTTTGAAGCGGTATCGCCTTTCTGCCGAGGCGTTCCGTCAAAGGTTTAGAAACGCATCCAAAAAGAGCAGCGAGGGCTACTCGGAATTCGCGTACGCGCTTAAAACCAACTTGATAGAATGGTTGAAGAGCGAGGAAGTGTACGAAAGCCGCGACAAGGTAGTCGAGTGTGTGTGCCTCGAACAGTTCTTTCGTGGCATTCCGCAGTCAGTCAAGCTCTGGGTGCAGGATAGGGTGGGAGTCGACTCTGTCGAAAGGGCCGCTGAGCTAGCCGAAGAGTACGCAACGCGTAGAAAGCTGAGCGGAGAGGACAGCGAACCCGGCCGGAGCGATCAGCGCAAGCCCTTCCAACAGGGAAACGGCTCGCGAGAAAAAAGGCACGAGAAGCCAGAAACAGGACAAAAGGTCCCAGAAAAGAGCGGAGATCCCTCGAACGGAGATCCCTCGAACGGAGACGAGGCACGGAAAAGCCAAAAAGGGCAGTTCGAGGCAAGGAAGCCGTTCCTGTGCTACAACTGTCAGGAGCCGGGACACACAGCGGCCAGGTGTAACAAACCGCGGGTTGTGTTCTCGTACGTGAGCGGTAGTGACAGGGACCTGGAGCTTCTTCGTCCCTATCTTCACGAGCTCCAGGTAAACGGAAAGCCGTGCAGGGTGCTTCGTGACAGTGCAGCGACGATGGACGTTGTTCATCCGTCGTATGTGACGACATCCGACTTTACTGGAAAGGTAGTTTGGATCAAGCAGCTGCTCGAGAAGCACAGTGTCTGTCTGCCTATGGCGAGAGTAAGGATAACTGGCCCGTTCGGAGAGCTAGTGACAGAGGCGGCTGTCTCTCAAACAGTCCCGTTGGAGTATCCCTATTTGTTTTCTAACCGGTCAGATTTCCTGCTGCGCGAAAGGGGTCAACAACTGGGAGAAGGACTCGTTCAGTCGTGTACGAGGGCCAAATCGCGTCAGCTCGCCCCTTTGTTAACGAGTGATCCAGAGCGAAAGACAGCTGACGGGGAGCAAGCACTCCCAGAGTTGGAGGCAGAGAAACGGGATGAAGGGGACCGGGTTGTAGAACAGCCCGACCTCGTAGCACTAGAAAGTGTACGCCGTCCCAACGCGCCGGCGAAAAAGGCGGAGGAAGACGGGATCATTAAAGGATCTCTCGTAGCTCCGGCGTCACGTAACTTTGGTCCTCCGTTACGAGTAGACAGAGTGTCTCTGACAGTCGAGCAGAAGAGCGACCCTAGTGTGTCAGGGTTTCGCGGTACAGCTCAGGAGATTGCTAGGACCAATGTGACGGGGCATGAAAAAGGCGGATTGTTTTATCGGCGCTATAAGGACCGCATTTTCACGTCTAGAAATCACGTGAAAATCGATCACTATGACTTCAGCGTAAGAAAGAGGAAAGGCAAATTTAACAGCAATGCCGATGGGTTGAGCAGATTTTTCTGATATCACCAAAAAGAGTAGGGATGATCTCAGAGGTTTTCGTCATCCACGGGAATGAGGATCTAAGTGGGGGCACTTCGTTAAAACCCCAAAATGACCTCACAAATTGCGAAGAGTTTTTGTCTTTTTGTATTTTGTTCATAGTGACCTTTTGGAAAAATGAGTTTTGCTTTGGCGACAGCGGGTCTCGATACCCGAAATTGTCCTAAGGTTTTAAATTGCATTGTTTTGGCAAATTTTGGTAATCCGTAATCCAGTCTGGCGGGTCTCTGGCGGATTCCGAGCGTTTGACTGCGGTGTGGCGTGGTGTTGTGGGGGACGTTTTCCGCTGATGCCTCCGTTGTGAGAGGTTTGGGAGTTTGCTTAGTGCTTGCAGCATCTTCTCAAGGCCTACTCCAAGCCCACCTCTTCAGGCCAGCGATAGTATCACCGGCCATTCGAGGTTTCCCTGGCCCCGGAGGGGCTGTTAAGAATGGAACCTTCGGCGACCTTCTTCCGAGTTTCAACGCTGCGGAAACGAGTCAAGACGAGTCCGGGACCGGCGCCCGCTTGTCGGGGCCTGCGCGAAACGAGTCCCGACGAGTCTGGGACCGTCGCCTGCGTGACGGGGCCTGCGGCAACAAGTCTCAACGCGCCCGTGACGTTGGCGGGACGTGTGTGTGTGTGCGTGGTGGTTGGTGCGCTCGGAAAAGGGAGAGAGGCATGGCCTAACTGCGGAGAACTTTGGCTACGTCGCACTGGACGGCGGACTTTTCTGCATCGCACTGGCTGCCCTGGCGGAGAGTGAGGGAGAAACGGACCCTATATAAGGCGGAGCGCGAGGCTGCTCCGTTGTTCTCTCGGATTTGACGACTGTACCGCTACCATGTAATTAAACCGTTCGTTACGTTACCAAGTCTCCCACCTCCACTGGACCCCTGGGTTCTTCACTTCGGGGAATGGACGTCGTCTCGAGCCAGGAAGCTTCCGGACGTGCGGCCTAAACCCCGCCTCGAACAACACATATAGACCAAAAAATGAGCACCGAAATTTCGTTGTAGTATCCCTTTAATACCACGGACGAGCTAGGTTACTCAGACGAGCTAACTACTCGAACGAGCTAGGCTCGTCCGAGTATTTAGCTGTGCTGCTCATAGATGGCAGCATTCATATTAGTTGGTGCCTTCTTTTTTGCTGCCGCCGATTTTTGCGTAATAAACTTTTGAAATTTGAACTGTTATACTAGATATAAGGCATTTTCAGGTTGCTTTAAAAAAAAAAAAAAAAACTGGCACTTAACGGGTTAAGGGGCACTGACACCCCAAAGGTTGTATTTTTTTTTTTTTTTTATTCTCTAAAATGTTGCAAATTGTAGTCAGACAAAAAAAAAAAAATTTAAATGCCGCAATGTGCAAAATTCTTTTTTCACGTGTGCTTGCGCCTTTTTATTTTTGGCGTTCTTCTCTCCCGCTTCTTACCTCCTTGCTTCTTTTGATTTGTGATGGCAAATATCATGAAATTTAGAAGCTTTGTAGGCGACATTTCTGTAACATTTAATAACAACAGTCGTAAAACATGTTTTTAACGCAATTGCGAACGCACTACATCCCTTCTTTTTTAAATACCAAAAATCGCAGTCCGGTGTGATGTCGCCTCCTGGATTTTTATCCTCCCTCGAAAAACATGGTGGCGCTAGACACATGTAGCAGAAGATGATTGGAGAGTGGGGGAATCGGACGAAGTGGTCTTTTTTAGGTGTCCGGCGACTTCTCATACTTCGAAAAGGAAATAGTCAAACGGTCAAAACAACTGGGTTGGTGTCTGTGTATCGTAGTTTCGGTTGTGACTCTTGGGGCAGCCTTTCACGCAGAACCGGCGAGACGTGGCCCCTCGTGTCGCTCACAAAGGTCCACTGCACGTTCTCTTCGACCTCGCACCGAAACAAAGATTGTTTCGGTGCGGTGGTGTTTCAAAGATTTGAGATCACTGAAAGGGCCCTAAATGAACTTCAAACTCGAAAGTTAAGCGTCGTCTGCTCGCAGCGATAGGCGGCCTGACATGCACGGAGGAAACCGGTTGTTCCGAGTATGCCGGCGAACGCAGCGGCAACGGCGGTTCGGAGCGGAGGCATGAAAGAAACTTGACTCGCAGGACTCCGCAATATTTGACGTCACGGCACTGGCGCGGATCGTGTGGGAATTTCATATTCGGCATTTTGAAATTTTTTTTACTTCACAAATATTGAATTCCCATGTTTCGAATTTTGAGGGTAATGTCCAGGCATCGTTTTCAATAGTTTCGGATAATAAAAAAGTTATTTTGACCTGTAGGTGCCCCTTCAGGCATCACCAGGGGCTGCAGGGGCAAGCCAGAGCATACCACTCATAAGTTGTTGCACGCTTCCTGTGCAGCCTTTGGGATATTTGTGGAAAGATCTGCTGGTTGTATAGATGTCTTTGGCGTCCTGCATAATTTGAACTACTCGGGCTCTAGTTTTCCACATCAGATGGTGGTACCAGTGATCCTATTCTAGTTCTAAGTGGTGTGGTTAAACTCTGTTAATCTGCCAAGTTGATTGCAGCTTACAAATGTAAAGCAAAGGAGTCTGGTGATAGTGGAGATAACACCTCATCATGTTTTGAATTCTCTGCCTACAGGAAGAAAGGAGAGTCATCTATGTTGGCAATATCCCTGAAGGAACTACGCGTACGGACCTGCGCCAGAGGTTTGCACAGTTTGGCAATATTGAAGAAGTCAGTGTGCACTTCAGAGATCGTGGGTGAGCGGGACTGCCTCTATCTTTTCCTCACTTTTGTCAGGAATGATGCTCATTGACCTCTCTTTATTTCTTTCAGGGACAACTACGGCTTTGTGACATTTATGCAGAGCAGAGACGCATACGAGGCTGTAGAACGTAAGTCTTGAGTTGTCCTTGAGTGGTGGGGGGAGTCTGGCAATGGTGATGCCCAATTTGCAGATGGGAACGACGACCCCAAGCTTCCACGCTTTGACCTCTGCTTTGGCGGCCGGCGCCAGTTTTGCCGGACGAATTGGGCTGACCTCGGTGAGTGGCATTGTTGTATGGAACTTTCTCTTCTGATGGAACAAAGTAATGCTAATGCATTGTGATAATGAGAATGGCATTAATTTATTTTTGTTATATAGAGGTAAATGTTAAAAATATACATGATAGGCCTCTTCTTCGATGGTTAACCCTTTCGGGTTGGTACTGATTCTGAGAGTGGTAACCTTACCAAATGCTAGGTATCATTCGTCTTTTGTTCAGTTTTATTCCTCCTAGATGGGGTTTTGGCACAATTTTATATAGTTGTGCTTGAATGTAGCATCATAGTAGCAATACATTACATTCTTTTGGGAACTGTTATGTTTATGTGTTTCTTTTGAACCAGTGCGACTTTTAATGGGAACTCGTTCTAAAAAAGCAAACAGTAGTGAAGAGCTGGTTTTTGTTCCTGCTCTTCTAAACTCATCTAGCTTTGTTTCCCTCCTATATTGTTTTGCATGTGTGTTTGTTTTGTTTTGCCCTGGGCACACTTTTGTTGTTCTTTCAGACTCTCAGTACGAGAGGTACTATTACATCCAGCGGCAGCCACGGGTCGACAACATAGACTTCGATAGCTTGCTTCAAGCGGCCAAGACTCAAGCTCGGAGTCATCGGTACTGACATCGGTGGAACTTATGCTCTTCTATGTTTCACCATGACCTCCCTCGCGTGTGCTTGGTCACTGCACAACGTGCGCTGGCACATCTTGACTTGTTTTTTCAAGTTGAGGTGCGGTGGAGTCATAGGTGTTTATTTAAGTTGTATAGTACTATTCAAAGGGCAAGGAACATGTACATAGTTGGGTCTTTTGTGTCAGTTTGGGCGGCGCTTACATTGAATGTTGTGGGCAGGGTGCAAATGGGGCTTGTGTGTTTATGTTGGACAAGGTAATCATCCCCTTCCTTTTATTTTATTTTGTTTACATCCCACTGTTTTTGTTGTGCTGATGGAACTTTTTTTTATCCTATTTTGGTTTTGTATTGAGATGAAATTTATCTGGGATTTTCCCACCCATGTTTTCTAATTGTGTACTGTGCTGTTTTGTACATAGCCATGTAATATAGTGCATTGCTGGTCTGTAAACAGCACTTGACATAATGACTCGCCATGGTGCCACGTTTTTTGTGCCACATCTAGGTTTTTATTTTCTTACGGACAATTGTTAGATCTACACTTTTTGGAGGGTGCTTATGCATCTATTTTTGTGCTAGGACTTTGCTGTCAATTTACTATAGTATTTCTTGTGAATTGATGACAAGGGCTTTTGATCTACTTCGCATGCCATGACGTGTGCCGGTAATAGTAACCAGTAAAAACCTGTGTTTCACAGTTGCGTAAAATGGGACAGCCACAGCTCTTTGTGGCTATTGTATCAGTGCCAGTGTGAGATGTAAATTCGTATTCCATTATTGATCAGTTCATTTTTGTCACATATATATATATATATATATATTGGTATACAGAATTCGATGCCTTGCTCCCATTTAAAGAGATGAGCATCAGCATAATAAAAATTAACATCAATTTTGAATAAAGTGTCAAAATTTGGGATGCTCAAGACTGTCTGGCTGATGTTTCTCTTACATGCTTAGTTCGCACTCTGCTGACTGAAGAACATGGCAAAAGAAACTAAGCATGTGTTTGATTTCCAAGCATTCGTTTGTCTTCCGTCTGACTAGAGTCACTGGTGGCTATAGTCTTATGATGGTGCGCTTGTTTTGTGATTTGTTCTTCGGCAATCTTATTGAGTAATGTCACAGTCGCGTTGGCTGTGGCGCTATAACAGGGTTATCAGACATGCCTGGCCCTGCCTGCAGTCCAACTATAGTTTGGGTCTTCTGGTGACCAGTGGTGCCACCTTTTCTGCATGTGCTGTCAACCAGAGTCTAGAGTATTTGGAACGTGGAGGTAGGAAGCTTCTGGAGGCAACATGATGCCATAGAGTTGGAGCCAGAAGTGTGGAGTGGCACGCCTCCCAACGATGACCAAAACAGCTGTGGTTTTGGTCATCGCTGGGGCCTTGAACCCCTCCATACTTTGGCTTCACCACTGGTGGCATTAAGTCACCTCCAGAAACTTCCTACCTCCATGATTTGGAAAGCCACTTTTAGGGGCACCTGGAGATCTATAATCGAGGGAACCCAGTTCAGCAACCAGTCTATGTGCTAATGGACAATGTTTCCAGCTTTGTGGTTTGAGCTTATATGTGCTTGCCCTTGGGTGGCTTCATTTGCTCTTTGGAAAATGTTTGCTTCATTCTGGCACCAGAACACTCGAGTCGTACCGAGTAGACAATCACAGTGACATTTGACAATTAGCACATACCTAGCTGCTATTTACAATTGCCGACGGAACACAACGTGAACAAAGTTGCTTTGCATTAAAGCCTCCAATTTGCACCAATCTGCTCAACTATTTTCTTGTTTTGACACATGTTTAGCAGAACAGGAATCATGAAATTGGCTTTGGCTATTATTTTTTATGTGCAGCATGGGTCAACATGTGGAGTGTGTCCACTGTTGGCATTTCTAGTGCACTTGTTAAAGAAAGTGAGTCGCTTGCTTATTTTGATTGAGTTGCTGCTCCATTCCAATGATGTGTTTTTTTTTTTAGCAACAAAAGAATGTGTGCCTAGTTGTAACTAATACAGCAGTCCTTCAGAAACATGTTTCCATAAATAGGCAAGGTTTTGCACTGATCAAGAAATTTTTAAGTGATTAATCAGTTGGTTCTAATGTGAGGGCTGACAGTAAGTATATTGCTGAATTATATCATTTAAGGGCAATTGTGGGGATTTGCAAAGCCTTTACAATGCAGACTGTTTTAGGGAGATTGTTTTTCTTGTATTTTCAAATGCCATGGGCTGATAAGCAAGCAATGGGAGGACAAAAAATGTATGCACCTTTTTACGAACTTGCTGCCAGCTACAGAATACTGTAAGAGTACACTCTAAAAGAAAAAACCTGTGAGTCTGCTTTCCCGCACAACACTCGGAGAGCCAATCACCGCAACTTACGGAGGCAGCCCAGCGAATGGCGATACTGAAACAGATGTAACTCGGGGGTGGAAGCCCTGAGTTACATCTTTATTCTTCGGATACTCGAGAATCCACTTTTGCTGCGCCATCCTGCTCCCAAGCGCACATGTTGCGCCAAAACTAGCCAAATAAGTTTTTTTTTTTTTTTTTAAGGCTATATTAGAATATTTTTTTATTGGCCACAGTGGTTTACCGTGTTGTGTTTGTTTAGGTACTTCTGAAAAAAGAACAGGAACTTTGTAGCGCTCACTACCGGAGCCTTTGAAGCATGCGTTTAAGCGCGCGCCCGAGTGATACCGTGACCGCGGGGCGCGCGCTTACAAGCATGCTTCAAGGCTCCAGTAGTGCGCGGTATATACGCGGTAACGTTTTAAAGGCCCTATTGCTATGAAACCACCATACCGATGTGGTCGTGTCAACGGCGTGTAAGCCTGATCTCCGGAAATGGCACAGGCATAGGTCCCTTTGTCAGAGTACTCATCAGAACTCTTGCAAACGACGAGACGATGCTTCGATGCATCATTTCGTCATTAATGATCTTTAACATGACCGAGTGTATGCGAAATAATACGACACACACGCATTAAATCGCCGTAAAGTCTCGTAAAAGTGCCGGCCCCCCCCCCCCCCCCCCCCCTCCAAGCATTTTTAATGTTAAAGTTTTAATGTTAAAATTGTTTTTCAATGCCCCTAAGCACCGACGCCGCGTGTGATGCCGTACATCGTACCGCCATCTCACGCAACGTCAGCGCTTGGAGGCATTGAAAAATGATTTGACTGTCTTGAAACACCCAAGAAGAGCAACATAATTGTAAGAGGTCTGGGGAAATAAGCATGAGTGATAAGTTTATTGCATGCACAGTGCCGAAGACGCTCATATTGGCCGGGGAACGTTTTCAGTATAATGATGCTCCATAGCAAGCTTGGTTCGACTGGTTTTGACGACCCTTTGGAAGGGTCCAAAATGGCGATCACCATGGCAACCGACAGCGACAAGTCAATCACCTTGAGAAGTTTTGTCGTCTTTATGTTCGTATTTGTGTCAGGCTAGCAGGTGGGAAGGCAATGGCACTACCCTCCCAGATACAGTGACTTTACTCAGACTTCGTTTTTTGGTCGCGGGCTTGACGTCACGGAGCTGCGGCAGCGCTGCGATCGCGCCGGAGTTTGGTGGTGTGGGCAAAAGCGCGCACGTTTTGCATGGGCGTCATAGCATTTCAGCATGCCGCGAAGCTGTGTTGCCGTTAATTGCACCGAAATGTACAAGAAAATCAGCGGAGTGAGTTTCCACAAGTTCCCGGCAAACTCTGAAAGGCATAGAAGGTGGAAAATACCGTGGATCGAAAAAAATGGTTGCCTCGCGCGAACGACCGTTTGTGCGGCAAACACTTGAAGGCAAGTGCCGTAAGCCGCACTTGAAGTGCGGCTTCCATTTCAGTCTCCGTCCCGAGGTTTGCTTATGTGCAGGGAAACCGTTGTCAGATCGAGACCACCCGGATTTTGTTCCCATGGTGTTCGCGCATAAAGCATCGGGCAAGCGCTCGTCGGAGGCTCGCTACGCCCGTGCGACTAAGCAGAAGGGGATCGGCGACAGAACGGCAGTTTTGTAGGCGTTACTGAAAAAAAGTAACAAAATACGTTACTCGTTACTTGCAAATCAAAGGTACGTGTTACTGAGCTACGTTGCCTAAAAATGAACGCGTTACCGCTACCGGCACTGCGGAAACCGACTCGAAGTAATCGTAGTCATCGAGAGGCTTGTGCGCCTGCACCGTGTTGGCCGTGAACTGGCTTGGCGAAAAAACTAAATAAACGACGACGTGAGCCATCGACTTCGGTGGTAGCAACTTTACGTCGGAAGTCCAGCAGGCCTTGTTTACGGCGTACGGATCCTCGTAGGCAACGCCGTCCACGCACAGTTTGTTTCGATACCGCTGCCGTTAAGGCTCGGGCAGAGAGCTCAAATAGTCGGGCATAGCATATGACATACGTTGTCAGGAAATACGACGCACAAATAAGGATACAAGCGTCCCTACAACACCAACAACGAGCGCACGCCATAGAACGCAATGGCGAAAACACGGAGAGCCGGGCTGCTTTTGCCCACATAGCTACCGCGCATGCGCGGCCTTCCGGCCGTGTTGGTAAACAGAGTCGCTCCGCGTGTCGGTCTATAGACCTTTTCATTTTTGTAGTTGCCTCACCGGTGGATAGAGGGCGCTGATGCACTCGGCGCCATTAGGTTGCTTCAATTTGGTTGGTTTCGGTTTCAACGTGAACGCGGCTATGTTGCTGTTTTACGTTGTTTTTGCTGAATTTTGAGATGCGATTATTTTTCTTGTAGCACAAAACCAATGAAACAGTGATACTGAACCACTTTGAGGACTACGAGGTGTATCTTAGCTTAAATTGCGGACTTTTTTTTTTTACCAACTCCTTTGATGATCTGATTATGGTTGGTTGCGAAACGCCTGACTGGTGTACAGGGAAGATTACCATCGTCTACGACCGCACCCGATGACACCAGCTTCTAGGGAAGCAAACTATTGAAGAGACTAACATGGGAATGTAAAGAAGCATATCGACAGCTTGATTAGCATTGTGCTGAATCGACCAGAACAGATGAACTCGCGAATTTACTACTCACTCTTTGGTTTTCGTGGACACCCAACCTTTAGTGAGCTTTGCAGACTAAAAACGTATGGTGTAATGACACGGATAATTAATATAAACAAGTAGTATCGTCTCAGGCCCTTTTTTAATTGAGTACTCGAGCATGTTTTGACAGGTCGAGTAGGAAATTTGTTAAATTATCAACCCTGCTAAAGAACTCATTAGCATCATTTCGCGATATTTGCACTAGAAAATAAATTAGTTTTGTATGAATATTTGCTTACTCAAGATATAATATAAGTGACAGGCCCGTCAAATTAAATCTGGCATTTGTCTCCCGTAAAATTGGCCAATTAAAATTAAATGGCGCAGGAGGAGAAATACATCGGAAAGTTTGGCTGAATTCAAGCGCTTGGCACCACTTCATGGACCTGTGTGAAAAAACATTTATTTGTTTGAACAGATTCACTTTGTAAATTTCGGCGTCGGCAGCAACGAAAAGTGAACCTCTATTCGCCATCGACAATCCTGGACTCAAGTCACTGCTATGCGGACGTCTTGTTTGTTTGTTTTTTTGTTGTTTTTTGCGTCAAATATTGCGGATTCCAGATACTGGCAAAAATTAAAACAGCATGCGCAAAAAAAAAACAAAAAACGACGTCATTATTGCGCATGCGCCGAACCCAAATCGCGTTTTCGATTTGCAAATAGAAACAACGTTATTTTTTTGTGCACGCTATTCTAAAACCTCCTATTGTTAAGTGTCTGTGGCAGTTTCTTAAGCGGGAAGTCCCAACCTACGTGTTAAATTAAATTATGTGGATGGCACTGGTTATCTAAATATAATCAATAAATCACTTAAATGACTGTCGAAATGGGAGCGAGCACAGCATACAATTTCTTATACTTTATAAGTGAACCGACGAACCGAATATTTACGTCGCAAAAAAGGAATGGGAACCTCATACACATGTAGGTGTGATATTATGAACAAACAAATCGCCTGACGTTGACGTACCATTACTTCTAGCCTCAGATAAAATACAAGTTAAACTCTTGTTGTCTATCTCCTCCGCGAGTTTCCTGACATAATCAACAGAAACTGTTTTCAATATATTATGAATACAAAGAACGATACTTTCAGGAAATACAGATAGTCTCCTTGCGCTCCTTCCGATCCTAAATGCGTGATATGAATATACGCGCTTCATACTGAAAATGTTCCGCCACTATTAGGAAACAAACCTCAGTTATCATAAGGACCTTTGAACCCTCATGACGTCTTAGATGTCGAGTAGCCGTATCGGGCTACAGTTTCCGAAGTAAGGCAAGAAAGCGCGGCGAAACGCGACGAAAAAGACGAATACAACGCATCCGCCAAGGCGCGGAGGGGAGAGCGGAGCAGCAAGTTGAAGCAACCTAATGGCTGCCGCGTCACGTGATTCCAAGATGGCAGCGCCCATGCGGAGGAGGATGAAAAGGTCTATACTGCCTTCGTAAGTTGTGGTGATTGGCTCTCCGAGTGTTGTGCTGGAAAGTAGACGCACGGGCTTTTTTAGAGTGTAGTTGCAAAATATGATATTGTCATGTAATAATTTTCTGGATTGAAATATGAAATGGTAGACATTAAAAAAACTACAGTTTTTGCTGATCCCACTTTCGGCAGTAGCAACATGGAAAGCAGAATATGACGCCGATTATTTTCCCGCATGACGATAGGTAGCATATTTAGCTTTTAGACAATTTTTTCCACATTTTAATGCAAAACGATTTGCGGTTCAATATAACAGTATTGACATCCTGACGAACTCGCCAGTGATGAAATTCTTGATGAGTTTGGCAGCAGTGTAGATATTGCCCGTGGCAACCTCGTGGGACCACTTTTTATAGAATACTTGG